CAGTTTCATGACTCGGACTCCAATTGAGGGGCAATCGTAGTTCTCAGAAAAAGCGCAGTGGGCTCAAGGGTCTCTTTTTGAGGGCACAAGCCAGAAATAGGTCGAAGGATTGACGCACTAGCGCGAAAAAGGGTCGGCAAGCATCTCACCAACTTCGTGGCGCGATATTGCCAGGCAAAGAAGCTAAAGCCTTGGATTTCGCCCAGCAGTCAGAGTTCCGCCCACGGATTGACGTCATAGGCCAAATCCGCTCTTGCTTTTATCCATCCCTCACCGGTTATTTTGCCTCTCTCCCTTGCCTCCTAGCACCTTAAGAAGGGGCCTTTTTTGTTAAGGTTTCAAATGGTTTGCTTTCCTTCCACTCTTCAATTTCGGTCCATTTCGCATCTTTACTTCCTTTTTTAACGGAATGTCTACATATGTCCTTGACGTTTGTTTGCCCTCGAGAAAAGATCTGAAAGTGGTAACGGGTTCTTATCAAAAGGGTCCTAATCGAAATCTCGTGCTTAAAGGCAGTGAACACGATGATTGAGGGTGGAGCAGTTTTGATAACCTCGTTGGTAGACCAGCGGCCCCTCAGCGCGCTGTGAAAAGTGGATAGCACCACCTCCCAACGCCCATCCACCAATCACACTCAAGGACGTCACCAAACTCGTTCTGCCCTCCAACCATCGTGCTTGCCACCTTTAAGAGTTCAATAAGCAGGAGCTTGCCACAGGCTACCTACAGTAGCTATCGTTGACAAAAACCTCAGCAAACTCCAAGCCCAGTCTCGTATAATCACAATGTTCTGGCGAACATTTCATATTTACTGAGGTTTTCTTCCATTCCTTCCATTCCTGAACTCTCTGATGTTTCTTTCATACATTGCCTCTTAATTTTTGATCTATATATGACTCTGATGGCTGATTTTAATCACTCATATTTGGTTCAGGTGCGAAAATGAGAACGAGGTTGCTTTTGCTTCTGCTCTTCTTTCCCTTGCTATCACACGCTTCTACTGAGTCAGTCACTAGGAATTCGAGGAACCCTTCGATGTGGCACGAAACCGCTCGGAAATCGTACCGTACAATTATACGATAAGAGGACACGTAAGTTTTTTTGAGCAGTTATGAAAAAGTGAAGAAGAAATTCGACATAATACAAATGAAATAAAATAATGAAATATATAATAATGCGAGAAAAAGATTTATTTTCAGCACCATTTTCCGACAAACTACTGGCGTCAAACACGACCGATTCGACTGGGTTGTTCTATCTCACCGGAACAGCAGCGCGTGTACTGCCTCTGTCACCGCTTTTGGAAATCGAAGGCGATTGTAAAGGGAAGGTAAGCGCTATGAAAGGCTCCCTGTAAGCTGTCATTGAAGGTTGTTGAATCTTCAGAAAGTTCTTCGTCAGAACCACGGTGGCCTGTGACGTCCAATATTTGTGATTTTTCGATTTGAATGATCCTATAAGAACTTCTGCATGTTCACCAGTACATCCAAAGCCAAACAATTTTCTTCTGCAATTTCACGAAACGGAAAATCAGAACTACAAGACTCAAAAGGATGGTCACGAGGCGGAACAAAGGCGAGGTTTTTTTTAGAGGCAGGGAAACAATTGTGGTGTTAATGCGCTTGTCTTTGAATGAGATTTAGGCAACCTGGGCGATATGATTTTTAACAGTCTATGGCAGTGTCTGGTGTGTTTCTGCTCTTGACCATATTGTATCTAACGCCTCCACACAAAAAGCTGTGTCTTTTCCGATAAAATATGCCACTATGAAGCAAGCCTGGTAGCTCCCAAGTGGTATGGAGGCTTAGGATCTAGGCCAGCTACAACCCAAATATGGCCTAGACGGCCTTAGGGACGCTTGGAGGCTTGCGGCCAGGGTCAACCGTCCGTTGGACAAAGTCCAACGCGACGACGAGAGTAATGCCGAGAGTGAACGTACGCACGGAGACACAGACGGCTCGCGGGTGGCGAGAGTGAATGCCGGCGCGGAGAGCGGTGAACATCGGTCCAACGTCGCTCCAATATCGGTCCAACGTAACGGTTGACCCTGGTTGGAGGCTCCGACGCATGTGCATCGGCGTGGGCTACTGGGATTTCTTGGTTGGCGGAAATGGAGCTGAAGGAAAAAAGGAAAAGAATCCGTCGAAAACGCTTAGGTTGAGGGCTTACTCACCGTAATCGGCTGTGCTAAGGAATGAGAGACTAAGCGCGGAGAGGAGAGTATGAGGCGAGAGAGCGCAACAGATGAGAGGGCGCCAGACAACAGCCTGATAAAGAAAAAAAATTGCAGCTGCAGCAGCTTACTTTGCAAGGCCCTAGCGCTCTTGTCGGTTGATTTCCGTGCACGGGAACGCCACATTGTGATTGTCCTCTAGGGTCTATCCTACAGACCGAAGGATCTCGTTCACACGAGTTCTGCCTGGGTTGTGCCTTTAACTGGGAGTCCATTTTCTTCCTAGCCCATAACGTACTAGTAATACTTGTATAATACTTCCGCATCATTTCGTCTTTTTCTCACAACAACAGCTACTCAAAAATTTACCGGTAATCTGATCAGTAGGGTAGCATATTTTGAAGGGTTCGAAGCCCTTGGGAAAGTGAGCAGAAGTTCATAATGATTTTCTACTATGGGTCCGCGTGGTGCACCATGTGTATCGCGCTGTTCTCAACGTGCTGCTTTTACCTACTATTTAGCTTACTCATTTCGTTAGAGATCTTCAAAGAAGTGAATAAATAATGCTATTGCTATTTCCTATTTCCAGGATGTGGTGAAATTCAACGACGTTGGTGTTATCAACCTGAACATGCCATAATGCTGATGAATTTGAAGCTCCATTTGATTACGGAACACGTGTGCTTTATTTATTGACTAACGATTGTGTCCTTCAAATAAATGTACATATTTTGTTTACTTTCAAGCTACGGATATCATATTTGACATTGCTTTTTGATGGAGCAGCGCTTCTGCATTGTTTTTCGAGCGAGTTATGGCCATACATCTTCCGATTCCAAGTTTTATGGGAACAGCTGGTTATGGGAATTCTGTGATTCCTCGAAATAGGGAGGGCGGTGTTGTAGAAACTTGCTTGCTCCACCGCTTCACCAAGGTCGGACGAATTGCTTGCTCCACGGTTTATCCGAGCGTAGCCACTAAGGCGTAGTCTATGTACGTTGCGTTTCATAAGATTGGTACAAGGTATCTTGTCCTATCTAGCATTAGTCGTTATAAGCACTTTGTAAAAACCTGGCGCCATTGTCGCTCACGTTCCAAACGCGAGAACGGCACATCTGCAATAATCTTGGCCTTCTACATCCACAGAATAGATTCTGTGACATGACCTCATCTGGGATTCTTTTAAATGTTGAAAACATGAGAATCAACAGGGTACTGCTCAGCAATGAATGTGGAGATGAGACATTATGTACATGCTTCGAAAATTCGGAATTTTTTGTAACGCATGAGAAAGGGCGGAAGTGGTGTAGTGGCAAGTGGCACGCTTACCACGCGAGCGGTCCGGGGATCAAATCCTGGGTCGTGAGTCGCCCGGGCCAACCAAGCCTTCCATCCCTCCGGGGTCGGTTAATTGGTACCAGACTTGTCTGGGAGGATAAAAACACTGACTTGTACATCGGCTGGCCCCGCAAGTCATTGTATAGGCCACATCGCATTCAAACGCCACTACGAATGTACAAATGGAAGTAGAATGCGTGCCGCATCCCAAAAAGGGATTGATCAACGGCAAATGCTTTATCCTTTATATAGTTTTTCCTACTTTTCTACGATTCTTGACACTGATTTCGGCTATGGTTTGAGATCCCCAAATTATCAAATGTTCGACGAGGCGACAGGAAACAGCGGTTTTTCCGTTTTTTTTTGT